ATGGCCTTTTTGATAAAGCCACATAGTCTTCAGATGCAGAAGTGAAGAATTGCTATGTGGCAACACCTTATCAGCCATTGGTACATATGAAGTCATAAATGAAGTCATGATAATAGACTGCATGGTCTACTGACTTGACCAGCAGTGCTTTACCAGTAATTTTTTTGGACTTTGTTTACCACATCTATTTGACACTAAGGCAACTTTGCCGTTCATAAGGATCTGACTGCTAAATGTTAACGCCTAAATTCTGGATGATGTGATCATCACTACACAAAGAAAATTGGCTTGAGGGGCAGGTGACGTGAACATGCTGTCATCAGAAAAATTGGCTGAGGATCGAGACGAGGGGAATGCATCATCATAAGGATTTCAGCTGAAGGTAGAATGACGGCAATGACTCGCCATGAGTTCACAAAGCTCTTTTAGGGTGATTAAACATAGTGGGCACTTAGGGAAGGCTTTTGCAACAATTCCATCAGTAAACGAGCGTGGAATGTACCATCTGTGTGCTATGACTTGAAGAGCACTATGACTTGAAGACTATTGCAGATTGTATTATGAAAAAATAAAGAAATGATACAAATAATAATTTGTTGTTAATTATTATTATTGCACTGAGTTTTGGACTGCTTAGAGAGATTGTATGGATTGTACGGTCTTATTACTATCTGGATAAAGCAAATCAAATGATAAATAAAGACTTAGGGAAAATGACTAAAAAGCTAAAAACACGCAGAAAAAGAGAAAACAACATTGCAGTTGGGAGGTATGTATCTTGTCATTGCACAACAGGGTTTTGTGTGTGCCCAGCCTACAAGCTACATACCCTTCAGAGTGGCTCCTCAAGTAAGCCTAATATGTGGCCCATATTTCGGGCCACATGTGGTTAGTGAAGCATCTGGATCTAAGGGATTAAGTGGATCAGGATCTTGTTATAATGATGCACCATGCTCAAAATCTCCTTACTAGCTTTTTTCAACTTTATATACTCTTTTACCAAGTCTTTCAGAGGCTGCTGTATGTAAACCTCATTACAGTGATAGACCTTGTTCAAGCCTCATGACAATGATAGACCTCATTCATGTAACACTCTCTTTAAATTGAACCTCCCCAGTATTTCATACCTTTCAGTGATTAATGTAAGAACAAAAAATAGATGAAAATGGCATAATGTAAAATGAACAAATTTAGTATAAAGATAGTTGAATGATAATATTAATTCAAAATTATTATTATTTTTTTTTTAATGAAAAGCTCAATGCAAGCATCAGTGATAATTATTGCATTGCTTTTCCACTAACTAAGTGGAATGTACCATCTGTGTGCTATGACTTGAAGAGCACTATGACTTGAAGACTATTGCAGATTGTATTATGAAAAAATAAAGATATGATACAAATAATAATATGTTGTTGTTTATTATTATTGCACTGAGTTATGGACTGCTTAGAGAGATTGTATGGATTGTACGGTCTTATTACTATCTGGATAAAGCAAATCAAATGATAAATAAAGACTTGGGAAAATGACAAAAAAGCTAAAAACATACAGAAAAAGAGAAAACAACATTGCAGTTGGGAGGTATATATCTCGTCATTGCACAACAGGGTTTTGTGTGTGCCCAGCCTACAAGCTACATACCCTTCAGAGTGGCTCCTCAAGTAAGCCTAATATGTGGCCCATATTTCGGGCCACATGTGGTTAGTGAAGCATCTGGATCTAAGGGATTAAGTGGATCAGGATCTTGTTATAATGATGCACCATGCTCAAAATCTCCTTACTAGCTTTTTTCAACTTTATATACTCTTTTACCAAGTCTTTCAGAGGCTGCTGTATGTAAACCTCATTACAGTGATAGACCTTGTTCAAGCCTCATGACAATGATAGACCTCATTCATGTAACACTCTCTTTAAATTGAACCTCCCCAGTATTTCATACCTTTCAGTGATTAATGTAAGAACAAAAAATAGATGAAAATGGCATAATGTAAAATGAACAAATTTAGTATAAAGAAGTTGAACTGATAATATTAATTCAAATTTATTATTATTTTTTTTTAATGAAAAGCTCAATGCAAGCATCAGTGATAATTATTGCATTGCTTTTCCACTAATCTATTGATTAGTAACTTAAATCCCTTGTGAGTGGTTTGCTTAATATGTAGATTTGTATTGTATATCTAACCCCTATGACCTGGATGATGTGATCATCACATCATGAAAAAAATTGGCCTGAGGGGGGGGGGGGTGACATGCTTTCAAGGGAAATTTGGCTGAGGGGCTGGGATGATGGGAACTTGCCATCATGAGAGTTTTGGTTGGGTGCTGGGGTGATAGAAATGACTCACTATGAGTGCACAAACTTCTTTGAGGGTGATTAGACTCAATGGGCTTATAGGAATGGGCTTTTGGATTATTTTTACTGATAATTGAATGTGGAATGTATAATCCGTGAGCCATGGCTGGAAGAGTGCTGGCTGCAGGTAGGATGCTATTTTCATGCTCAGGATCATGTTCCTGCCTATCATGACTGGCAGCACTGGTTGTATTACAGAAAATTGAATATTATGAAAAAAGAAAACAGAAATGGCAGAATTTGAATAATTTTTATTATATGTTTTGTACTACTAGAGAGATGATGTAAGGAAAACAGTCTATTACCATCTGGATAAAGCAAATCAAATGGCAAATATACATGCTTGAGAATGTCAAATACATAGAAATGCTTATGAAGGAAAAAAACATTACATTGGGGAGGCATGGAGTCATTTCACCGCACACACGTGTTTGTGTGCGCCTGGACTACAAGCTGCACACCTGTCAGAGTGGCTCCTCAAGTAAGCCTAATGCCCATATTTTGGCCACATGTAGGCAGTGTAGCATCTGGATCCAAGGGGGTAAGAGTCTAGGTGGGAAATATGCTAAAAGGCACCACCACCTAATTACCCTAGTTATAGCAACTCCTCTCTAAAAGACAAAGAAATGGGACTCCAGTGATATTCATGTTGCTTACATACATGTGCATGACAGATAATTCCGAAATTGTTCAGTAATATTAACAGTGAAGGTTAATGGTAAATAAATGCCTTTTCAGCCTTGCCCTTTTGAAAATGTTTTGCAGTGAGCAGAAAATGAATTATCAGGACCTGGGTTGATGTTTATTGGGAGTAAGGAATATTGGGGCTTCCCAGTATCTATTTCATAAATGTCATATTGTAGTGATAAATGCATACATTTAGTCTTTCATTATAAGTCATGTTGACAAAAAGCCTGTCAGGAAGGATTTATGCTAGAAGTGCAACTTCATTTTAGGGTATGGAATATTTTTGTTATAATGTACCAAAATATATTGAAAGTATCCCCTAGTGGGGTATGTGTTCCACATTCAGAACTACTGACTTAAACGTAACCCATATTTGATCATCATACTAGAAATAGCGAAAAAAAGTGTGAGTGAGTGAGGGCGTGAATGAGACTGTTTATCTGTTCTTTATGTATGTGCATGTGTGTGTGCGTGCATGGGTGTGTGAGTGTGTGAGTGAGGGATGAATGGTGAGTGTGTGTGTGTGTGTGTGTGGGGGGGTGTATGCAGGTGTAATTTTTTAGAAAATGTCAATATCTTAACCTCTTGTATCAGGATAATGTAATCATGTCTTAAAAAATATATATATAAAAAATAAAAATAAATAAATAAATAAATAAATAAATAAATAAATAAATAAATAAATAAAATAGAAGGCTAACAGATGGGTGATGGAAATATACTGTTGGGGGAAATTTTGCCCAAGGGTTTGGGTGATATAAAATATACTGTCATGAAAAATTTGGTTGAAGGTTGTTGTGATAGGAATGACTTGCCATGAGTACAAATTTCTTGATGGGTAATTAGACTTGGTGAGCACTTATGAAGGGTCTCTTGCATTATTTCCATCAGTAAACAAATGTGGAATTTACCATCAGTGAACCATCACTGGAAGAGCTCCAGCTCAGGGAGGACACTATTTCTGCCTGCCATGACTGGCAGCATAGGGGGTATTACGGAAAATTGAATATTATAAAAAAAAAAAAGATACGTGTAAGAAGATATTTTTATTGGAAAGTCTTTGCAATAAGGAGAGACTATTACCTTCTTGATACAGTATGTTAAATGTCAAATATAGACCTCAGAAAATTGAGGGGGGAAACATGTACAAAAATGAAATAATAAGATTCAAAAGGTCAAAGCAAAAGTCTTGACACTGCACGTGAGTGTTTATCTGAGTTGGGCCTAAAAGCCACACATTCAGGAAAGTCAAGTAATCCTAACACCTTGGCTTTTGGGCCACATATGGGAAAATGGGACACCCGTATCCAGTGATTTTAAAACCCATGTAATTTGCTGTCTTATACACAAATATATTAGAAATAATCAGCAAGATTAATATATACGTAATCACAATATGAGTGTCTGAAAACTTGAGTCATGACAGATGGTTACTCCTGCCTCAGCTGGGTTATAACACTATGCATGAAAGGGAATTACTCAAACCTGTCTGGGCTTCATCATGCTGAGATAGCAGCCTCCTGTAAGGGAGGTTTTAGTGCCCATTAACAAAGGAAGAAATACGGAAATACTGTGTGATCTAACCCCATGATTTTCCTAATGATACCTCATACCCTCTCCATCTATCAGGACTTGTATCTTCTTTCTTTTATTCTTTTGTGTGTGTGTGGGAGGTGGGGGGCAAAAATTGCTTTAAATGCACACTAGACAATGAGGAGTCTAGTCATACCCAGTTTGATACAAACGTGTTTTAGAAGATTACCATGTATATATAAATACATACATATATAATAGATAGATATGTTTACTATGTAAATATATGTGTGTGTGTATAGTTTATTTTATTTATATTTATATATTTATATATTTGTTGTGTGTTTGAGAGTAATGTATGTCAGTAGCTCTGCAGGAAAGTAATGTCTGTTTAATAGATTTTCCCTTTTATCTTTTCAAGGGGCTGCCATAACTTCCATCAGCAGCCATGGGTTGTGCAATGAGCAATCCTGCTGACAAGGAAGCAGCAGAAAGAAGCAAGAAAATAGACAAAGATTTACGACTGGCTGGTGAACGTGCAGCAAAAGAGGTTAAACTTCTACTTTTAGGTGAGTGTTATGTGCTTTGATTTACTAATTTATCTTGAAAAGTAATAAATTTTAATTAATGTTAAACCACCAGTCCTATCTGATGTTTGATCTGACTTGAGATTATTGCCATTCTGACCTTGCCTGGGCAGGGTATCTGGAGAGATAAGGGAGCCAGACTGAGTGACTTTGCCCAGATTCTGTTCATTTTTTCTTGATCAGTGATCATCTGTAGTCTTATCATCCAAAAAGTTGGTGCAGGATTATTGTTATGAAACTAAAACAGGAAGCTGGACAGTCATAGATGACTAGGGGACCAGGTCTGATCCTGACTAGTGGAATCTGGGCTTATGTAGTTCAGAATATTAATTTTATTTTGTAACTTCTCCCTCTCACTCTTATGTGTATATACACAATGATATTTTTATTATTATCATCAGCCTTCACATTCATAGCCTCGTGCCCTATGTAACTATCACCTTTTCTCACTTGCCTCAGCTTGTCTCTGTTACCATCTTATACTTTACATTCCTAATGGCATATAGAACTTCCCCCCTCATGCCATCCCTGAGCATTTGGTTAAGACTCACCAAGTGAGTAGGCTCTTGCTTAATGGGTAAATCCTTTGTGATATTACTGTGCCCCAGGACTCACTTGATCTGAGTAAATCTAAGTAATGTAATAGAAATGGATACTCTCATGCTTACCTATTTAGAAACCAAGGATTCAATTACCAGATCTCAGTGGTTAACCAATTTCTTTGATTTTTAGAAAGATAAAGATAGATATATATATATATATATATATATATATATATATATATATATATATATATATATATATATATATATATATATATATATATGTATATATATATATGTATATATATATA